GGCAGCTCTACAAGTCTAGTCTGCAGCACGGGTAGCAGTAATAAAAATGCAAATGCCTTTGGTTAAAAAAGCATCACTTTTTTTTGGCTTCTCAGCCACCTAAAAAGTTGTGGTTAAAAGCAAAACCTCCTTAAATCTCTGATAACAGAGGATGCAGGAGAGACCGCTGGTGTGAGCAGAGAGCACCGCGCGCCCGTGTCAGTAGGCGACCAGGTACAACCCCCCTCGCCCTCCTAAACAAAAGGCTCCTCTCCTCAAAGTTACCGCTGGTCCCTGCACAGGCGCCTCTATGGATCGCCCCTCGCGTCCCAACTCGAAGAACAGAACTTGAAACCCCATCCTTGTTTGTCTTCCGGGAACATCTGCAGGGCAGCGAGGCAGGGTCTGGCTCTGAGCGTTTGCATGGCTTATGGGCTTTCCCAGCCTCGCGTCCCCGGCTACCTGGGCCAGGAATGGTGAATGGAACCCGGAGGGAAAACCTCCCCAGCCGTCCGGGGAAGAGACGAGAAGAAAGTCCTCTGTGCCTTACCTCCTAGGCTGCAGCTTCTTCCCGGGGACCGAGCGGGAGAGGAAGGACCGACTTCTTTCCGCGGGAGCACAGCGAGAGGGCAGGCGGGCCGGCAGCGCGGCACACACTGCTCTATTCAATAAAACTGCAGACCGCCCTTCCCCGGCCCCGCCCCGAAGTCCGCGCTCCGGGAACACACATCCCCTGTGTTTACAGTCGGCAGTCGGTGGTATGCATTGTCCTGTAGGGTTTTCTAATAGGCAGCCAATGACGACACCGCGGCCGAGGTGGATGCAGCCTGCCCGTGGAGATGCCTGTCATTCCCTAGGCATGCTCAGGAAATCACTCATCAGAAAAACCAAGACCTAAAAAGCTCAGAAACTGCGCGCAGGCTGCCAAAACCAGCCCGCTCCATGCCCTTTTTTGGTTATCCTTCGCAGGGCCTCTGGAAGTGAATCCATTGTCAGGAACAATCATAAGAAATGTTAATCTTGGAGCAAGAGGCTGTCTTGTGGAACACCAATGGAACTTTCAAAAAAGAAGGCACAGTCTATGGAACGAAAAGTTCACAGTCCATAAGTTTGGTGGGGGTGGGGGTGGGGGTGGGGTGGGAAAGGGGTTTTAATTGAGGGAACCTTAATAGTATATTTCTTGTAAAAGTGGCTGTAAATGCGAAATGAAATACAATCATGTAATTTTTAAAGGCTGAAATGACTGGGACCCAGGACTGGTGTACAGGCTAAATTCTAACCCGAGAGAGGCACAGCCCCCTACAATGTGTCTACACTTGTTGTAAAAACAACTGACCAAAAAAAAGCTGGGGTCTTTTATAGCAGGTAATGTTTGCCAGAATAAGTGTGGCACCAGAAACTCAGCGAGGTAGGGTCCTACCGGCTTGGCTATCCTCATTGGTTTCCCACATCCCCTCCCTCTCCCTTGCCCCTTTTGTTTCCTCAGATTTGTCCATGGGGAGCTATTGCAAGAAACTATGCACAAAGAGAGGGCATGGAAACCCAGCACCTACTCTGGGGCTGGTGTAGGCGAATGCATATGCCCACAGAGGTGACACTAATGTTCTGGTGCAGTGGTTCTCCACCTTGGCTGCACATTAGAATCACCTGGGAATCTTTTAAAAATCCTGATTTCTGGGCCTCATCCTCTGGAAATTCTGTTTCTTTGTTACTAATGTTGTGGCCCCGCCCCATAACAAAGAAAACAGAATTTCCGGAGGATGAGGCTCAGAAATCAGGATTTTAAAAAGATTCCCAGGTGATTCTAATGTGCAGCCAAGGTTGAGAACCACTGTTCTAGTGACTTCTTGAAAGTACTCCGACCAACTCTTCATTGGTAGAAGGTGTGCTATGGGAGGGTCAGAACTAGGAGATGCTGAATTAGAATCAAGTAGGCTGGCACACGTGTGCGTTCAGTCTGTGGTCTTGTGCTTTTAAATATAAAATTCACTCATTTAGAACTTGATTCAACAACGACGAAAAATTATGAGCACCTACTATTTGTCAGGTCTGGGGCCAGGTGCTAGATGTATGCCTTTTTATTGCCATGTGTTTGAGACCATTTCATCACTGACAAAGAAGAGTTACCATATTTTCCTTGGCTACTTGCAAGTCCAGAAGCTCGGTCTTAAAAAATCTGGGGTTTTACTGTGTAGGGCTTTCCCTATATGTGAAGATCCGACTTGGACATGATCTCTACTTAGGAAAAAGTCTCTTGACCTCTGTGCCTCATTCAGAAGAACGAGAACTGACTGGTCCAAATGGACGGTGTCCTTCTTCAGCCCTCCCGCATGAGTAAGTTACCCAGAGGCATCTGTATCCACCTGAGACCCATCTTGTGATGAGTGTCTCCCGGCAGTATGGCCCATAACTCTTGAGAAGGCTACCCCGTCCCCTCTCCCCAGCTGCTACCGCAGCATAGCCTAAAAAAGCTACAGTGAAGGCTGCCAGGCGCAGGGAGAGGTGAGCTACAGGCATCCCAAGTTGGAACTCAGAATGCACTTTCCCAGAGAAACAAAATAAATAATGGCTGGTGGGAATGGTGCAGTCAAGGCCACGTTTCAAGTACACTGTGGCTCAACCAGGCATGTGTGCAGCACCCTCGTTTGTAACATTGTTCCTATGGGAAAATGTCTTCTGAACCCAAAATGACTGATTTGGAAATAAACTTGGAGGACACAGAGTTGCTGCAGGGGACATTCCATATCTGGTCAGATTGTTAAGGTAGAATAGATACTTTTTAGTCTGCTAATCTGCTGGGCCTGAAGACAGTGTAGGGCAGACATCAATGAGCTCTGAAAGCAACTCAGTCCGTGACGTCTGGGCGAATATATGAGCTGGGTCCAGAGATGTTTGGGGCCCGTGTTTCCCGGCAGGATGGTCCATAACTCAGCGAGGCCTGTTTTAACGTGCCGTTTTACATGGCCACTGCTGATTGTATCCTAGGCAGCATTCTCCCAGCGTGTATGAGTAATGTCTTTTGGTTGTACAGCATCAGGGCGTAATTTGCAATCTATGAATAAAATAAGTACCAGCTTCCCAGAGGAAAGAAAAGTTGCACTACAAATGGGGAAAATATTATCAGCAGGAAACATGGGAAGGACATGCATTTTATATGGTTTTTGGAAGATAAATGGCTAAATATTTTTGGGTTCATGTTTATAGAAAAGAGAAGTATGTTTCCCTAGATAAATTCTAAATACCTCATATGCAGGGTATAGTGGATGAGCAGCCATTCAGCCTATTTTGTGTATTTGAAAACAGACTTGTTGTGGAGGAACTATATAGTTGGAAGAATAACTTAGCAAATTAATACTCACCATAAACATTATTTTTTTATTGTCTTTGTTTTTTTTAAAATTAAGTAAGAATAAAAAAGACAGGAAAGGGACTAAAAAGAAAGAAAAAGGTAAAGGTTGCCAATTTCTGCCATGGGAAACTTAACTCTCATAGTACTTACTTTTTCCAGAGGTCATTTGTAAACAACACTAAAAATACACAGGATTTATATAGGAAGTTTCTGTGGAATATATTTCCCACTTGGATCATCCCAGATAAAGAACAGCTTGTCTGGCATAGGCTATCTCTGCCTAATGAACCATAACAAATCTAACGAGACATTTGGAAACATCTGGATGACTCATATTTTTTCAGTTCCAGCTGACTATTTGTAATCATGTAGATCAGTAGTAAGCAATTATATTTTGCTTGTGTGTCAATTTGGGAAAAGTAAAGTTAGGCCATACTTTTTCATTTAAATTGAAATCACTTCATGTAGTTCCATTGAAAACATACATTCTTCTTGCTTAAAATATCTACTTTGCTGAACAGAACAGATATTTTGAACATTTTAAAAGGCAGCAGAACACCCCCACGCCCTGCCCTCCACACACACACCTTCTTTTATTCAAATAAAGTATTTCCAGATACTCACATTTCTAAAACAATAAAATCAGACCGGTAGAATGAACAACAAAGACAGTACAAAGAGAGAGAGAGAGAGACACACACACACACACACACACAGAATTATACTAAGTGTACTTATGAACCTAGATGAAAAAATTAGCATATTGAATCCAATAGTGTAAAAAAAAAGATAATGCAGAAATGATTCAAATATAGAAATCTATTGATGCATTATACAATATTAGCGGTTTAAAAGTAAAAAGAAATATAAAAAAGAAGAGAGATTATCTTGATATGTAAAGAATAATACTTGGTAAACTTCTTAATCACTTATAGAAAAAAAGGAGCTCTTAAAAAACTAGCAACAAAATCTTTATACTCATAATGAGAGACGTTTACCAGAAACCTACAGCAAAAATCATGCTTAATGATGAAATGTTAAAAATATTCCCATTATAATAAATGAAAAGATGAGGATGACTGTCTCTTCTACAAGTGAAAAAAAGAGCTGCAGGTTCTAGCCAAATAAAAAGAACAAGAGCTACTGGAATTAGAAGGAAAAAAAAATCTTTATTTGCTATGATGTGATTATGTGTGTAGAAAATTCAAGAGAATCAACAAATATATTAGAACTAATAAAAGAGTTCATAGCAAGATTTTTGGGATCAAGTTCAGTATAGAAAAGTCCAAAGATCCTATAAACAGCCATCTCTAATTTGAAAATATAATGGAAAAATATACTATTCATATTGATAACAAAAGTGTGATTATCTTGGAATAAGCATAACAAAATATGAGCAAGAAAATTACAAAACTGGAGTTAAGGATGTAAAAGGCCTGTGTAAATGGTAAAATACATCACTTTTCTGAATGGCAAACCTCAAAATTATGAAGATGTGAATTCTCCTCAAATTAACCTATGCTTTTATTATTCGAACTAAAATCTCTAAATGTTATATTTTGTAGAACTTGACAAAGTAATCTTAAAATTCATTTGGAAAAGTAAAGATCTAAAAATAAGTTCTGAGATACTCTAGAGCAGGGGTGGGCAAACTTTTTGACTCGAGGGCCACAATGGGTTCTTAAACTGGACCGGAGGGCTGGAACAAAAGCATGGATGGAGTGTTTGTGTGAACTAATATAAATTCAAAGTAAACATCATTACATAAAAGGGTATGGTCTTTTTTTTTTTTTTTTTTAGTTTTATTCATTTCAAACGGGCCGGATCAGGCCCGCGGGCCGTAGTTTGCCCACGGCTGCTCTAGAGCATCTCTAATTAAGATATGCGTTATTGCCCTAGCCGGCTTGGCTCAGTGGATAGAGCGTCAGCCTGTGAACTGAAGGGTCCCAGGTTCGATTCCGGGGTTGCAGGCTCGATCCCCAGTAGGGGGTGTGCAGGAGGCAGCCAATCAATGATTCTCCCTCATCATTGGTGTTTCTATCTCTCTCTCCCTCTCCCTTTCTCTCTGAAATCCCTTTCTCTCTGAAATCAATAAAGCAATATATTAAAAAAAAAAGATATGCGTTATTGACCCAGGAATAGACAAATAGGTCAATAGAACAAAAGAGAAAGCCTCGGAACTGTCCCAAACATGTGTGGAAACTCCTAAAATAATAGTAGCAGCATTACAGATCAGAGGGGAAGGGTAGACTATTCTCTTAATGCTAGGTTGCAATTGATTGTGTGGAAACAATAAAATCAGTTTCAAAATTTCCACCCAACTCTAAAAGAAACTAGGTTGCATGAAAAACAAAACTTGAAAACAATGAGGAAAAACTGTCGGTGAATATCTTAACGATAGATATGATATGGAAGACTTCTTAAAATAA